AAGTAGGATTGCCCAACCTTCCTTCCGAGGAGTGGCTGGTGGGTTTGAACCGCCTGCCTTCTGGTTAGCAGTCAAGTGCCTTAGCCACTATGCTACCAGCCTGTATAAATAGGAAGATAGTAATTGATAATATGCAGGAAATCCGATGATGCTAAGCACATACCGGCATGGAAGATGAAGCAAAAAACAAGTTTTCTGAGAAAGCAGCAACAATTCTTGTGTTGTATGCACTCTCCTGTTTGTTTTTCAGTGTTACTGAAAATGCTAACCTTTTATTTTGGTTGCTGACAATAAAGGGTTGTTTTCTGTTAAGTTAGAAAGGGAAAAACAAAACACTAAGGTTAAAAAAGGCCAATATTCAAAAACTTCACTCAATTACAAAGGAACTCCCTAATGATGATTTCAACTTACTGGCAAAATTGTTTCATAACAAACTGTCTCATATTAAAGATATACTGACAATAAATAAGTAAATGCTATTATGTTTTCTTCCCTGTTACTTTTAATTACATTGCAGTGAAAGGAACCATTCAAGTCCAAACAGTTTTATAGTCCTTATTGTTTCATTCCTCTATGGATGGCAGAAATTGAAATTCACTTTATAAAGGACTTTATTGCTTATGAATGATTCTTTTATAGAAAAGATCTCCATAAACATTCATTTAATAAAGGAATTTAGTGTGTCTTTTGTTTCTACATTGTACGCTGAGCTTTAACATGAAACCTACTGATCAGCTGGCAGCTGTTGAACATTGAGAACTAGATCAGAGATGCAAAGTCCATCATCACCACAGTCTTTATAGAAAGGAATCTACAAAACAGGAAGAAAAAAGAAAAATCACACATTAGCTCTTGGATAAATAAGGCTAGTTGCAGAAGAATATATAGAGTATGAGTCCATTTATGTAAAGTTCAAAAACATGCAAAACTAAAGTACATTTAAAAAAATAATACTGCTGTTGAGTCAGGTCTGACTCATAGTGACCCTTCCTTGGGTTTCCGAGGCGATATCACTACAGAAGTATATTGTTCAACCTTCCTTCTGGGGAGTTGCTGGTGGGTTTGAACCACCAGCCTTCTGGTTAGCAGTCAGATGCCTTAGGCACTACACCACCAGAGCTCCCAAAGTACATTTTAGGAATAACATTATGTGTATCAATGCCATAAAGAAAAGCTGGGGAATGATAAATACAAAATCCAAGAGTGATTTTCCTCAGGAGAAAAAGTGTGAAAGTGAATATAATGGCAGAAAGGGTACATAGGCATTGGTCATATTTTTTAAGTGGGTGGTGAACACAGGGGCTTGCATTATTGTTAACAATTCAATAAATAGTTCAGAAACACCTATGGTGCTCTAGGGGCTGAGAACAGAACAGTGAACAAGAAAGATAAAAACCCTTTCCTTCAGAGAATTTACATTCTAATGAACCTTTCAAATATATCATTGTACTTGATTTAGAAAGCTAAGAATTTAAGGGCTACATCTTAAGTATCTTTCCAGCACTATGTCTGTATCTATGGCACTCTGTTAGCCTGTCTAAAACTTGGAAAAGCAAACCACACTTACACTGAAGACCTTGGCTGTCTCAGAATAGGCTTCAAGTGCAGGACTAGTGCCAGGGTTCTCCAGGCTGATGTTCACACGCAGGTCCAAAGGGCTGACAACATCAGAGGGCTCCTAAATACACATACACACACAACAGAGTCAGCTCATTAGGGCACAGCAATTTTAAACTAAGCAAATGACCATTAATGTGTTTATAGTCAGCTCCCAATTACATCAAATATCCATATCTTGAATTATCAAGACATTCAATTATCAACACTTCATCTTGTCTGTCCTAGCTCTGTTTTAACATCTCTACTAAGAAAGTTGAAGAAGGTTCATTAGGAAGATCTGAAGCATCAGTTGTTAGTTGATCTCATCAGTAATGTCATTCATTATCCGTATACAAGTAATTGTCAACATTTAGGTGATACGAACAGTTCTGACATTCTTAAAAAAAAAAAAAAATGGTTGCCATCAAGTGATTCCAATCCATGTTGACCCATGTGTTATAGTCTAGAGCTGCTGTATAGGTTTTCCTGGCTGCAATCTTTATGGAAGTAGATCACCAGACCTTTCCCTGTGGTACCACTGAATGGGTTCAAATTGCCATCCTTAAGGTTAATGTTGTTGTTGTTGTTATGTGCCGTCGAGTC